GCCTTTAACAAATTGAACGCAGCCACGATTCCGGCTCAGACGCCGAATCCTCGCAAGGACGTTATTATCGACGGCATGGGTCCACCATTTTCTCCACCATCGACCTTCGCGATGGCTTTTACCAGATATTGATGGGTCTATGTGACGTCCCGAAAACGGCGGTTTCTACGCCGAGTGGCATGTTAAATGGGAGTGGCTGGTCATGCCACAGGGTCTATCCAACGCCCCGGCGACGTTCAATCGTATGGTTACCGCGAAGTTCCGCGCGTTTCGCGACTTCGCACCGTCGTACTTCGACGACATTTACGTTCACAGTTGCGCCTCCTCCGCACAATCTGATCTTGACGTTCACCGCGGCCACCTCCGCAAGGTGATTGATGTCCTCCGTGCCAACGGACTCTATGCCAACCTCGCCAAATGTATGTTTGGCGTTGACGAAATCCCGGTCCTGGGAGATTTAGTGGGGGTGAACGGATGTCGCGCTGATCCCGAAAAGATCAAGGCCATTTCGGAGTGGCCTATTCCCTCCTCCGTCAAGGATCTTCGTCGCTGGCTGGGTCTTGCGACGTACCTGCACAAATATTCGCAAAACTTTGCGGACATCGCTCAGCCGTAGTTTCGGCTTCTCCTCAAGGACGCCCCTTGGGTTTGGGACTCCACTTGTCAGGAGGCTTTCGATGGCCTCAAAACTAACCTTCAACACGCCCCGATCTTGGCGCTCCCGGACTTTGACAAACCTTTCTGCATCGTTTGCGACGCCTCGCAGTTTGCAATTGGCTGCTTCCTGATGCAGCTCGACGCCTCCGGTCGCCCTCGCCCGGTTTCCTACCAAAGCCGCCAACTTCACGCGGCTGAGCGGGCATACCCAGTCCACGACTTGGAATTTCTCGCTATGAAGTACGCCCTAACCAAGTTCCGTATCTATCTCCTCGGTGGTAAACCCTTCGTGGTTTACACCGATCATGCGTCCTTACGCACGGCGACAAAAACACTACACCTTTCGCAGCGCATGGCGCGCTGGATTTCATTCTTCTCCGAATTCACATTTTCGGTTCAGTACAAACCCGGGAAAGACAACATCCTGGCCGACGCCCTATCTCGGCTCTACGATCGGTCTCTTAACGTCGGGTCTTCACGATCGAATTCGTGCGGCGTACCCCTTTGACGCTGAATGCTCGTCGCGCCTGGCGGCGCTCACCGACCCCGTTTCCCCAAACCCCGCCGTGCTTCGTCGGCCTTACACCGCTTCGCCCTCGCCGATGGGCTTTTGATGTTTCAACCCACCGCGGACTCACCGCCGCGCATTGTTGTGTGTCCAGCGACGCGCAGCTGCGCCTCACTCTCCTTCGATCCTACCATGACTCCCCCAGTGGCGGCCATTTCGGCCATTTCGGCCCCGACAAAATGCACGCGGTCCTGGCGCGTTCATACTGGTGGCCCCGCATGTACAAATCCGTCGTGCGCTACGTCGCTCATTGCGACGCTTGACAGCGCACTAAGATCACCGCCTCCTCTCGGGCTCCGCTACAACTTCTGCCTACTGTATTCCCGACGAACTTTGGTCGTCCGTCAGCATGGATTTCATGTTTGGCCTGCCACGCGACGCCCGCGGCAACACCGGCATTATGGTTTGTGTCGACCGAGCATCGAAGTACGTTATTGCCGTCCCCGTCCGGGACACGCTGAGCGGCGCGGATGCCGCTCGCCTCTTTTTCGACCACGTTTTCTGTCGTTTCGGCCTGCCTCGCTCCATCGTTTCGGACCGCGACCCGCGACCCGCGGTTCACGGCGAAGTATTGGTCCACCCTATTCGCCCTATGCGACACCTCGCTCGATATGTCGACTTCGGATCACTCCGAGTCCGACGGCCAAACGGAACGCGCCAACTGCGTTCTCGAAGATATCCTCCGGAGCTACTCCGTTTCTACCGGTTCCTCGTGGGCTGTCACGTTACAGCACGCAGTTTTCGCTTACAACGCCTCGGTTCAGGCGTCCACTGGCTTTTCGCCGCATTATGCGGTCCATCTCCAACACCCCCGCCTCCCTCCTGTGCTCGAGGGTTCGATCTCCAGGGGGGGGTGGAGTCACTTCGCGGCTTCGTTCTGCAGGCGTACTTTCCAATGCCCCCAACCGCACTCTCGAAACAATTCAGAGTTTCCTCTCCCGTCGCGTCTCTGTTATGCAACAGATCCATGACAGCATCGCTGCCGCTCAGCAGCGCCAATCAACTCAAGCCAACAAACATGGCCGCTCTAACCTCGCGTCTTTCGCCGTGGGCGAACAAGTTGTCCTCCACAAGTCGGCGGCGCCTGCCCATGCATTCCGCGCACGTGCGGTTGGAATGTGTTCCAACGTCAAGCTGCGCAGTGCTTGGCACGGCCCCTTTACAGTTCTTCGCGTGGTCAGTCCCACCAACTACAAGCTGGACCTGCCCACCTCATGGCAGATCCATCCAACATTCTATGTGAGTAAACTCAAACGATATTTACCGTTATTATCTACACCTACGACCGATGAAGTGACAGCAACCGATCCTCTGGATCCCACGGCGGCTCTTCCTCTTCCACCGCCTCCGAGATCTCCTCCTCCCCCGACACCCCAGCCGTCGCCGCCCTCGACATCGGCACCACCACTTGTTGCGGCGCCGCAACCGCCCGCGCCCCAGCCCGATAATCCGCGACCGCTTGTCGCTCCGCCGCTGTCAACTGCCCATCCCGTTGATGTCCCGACGGCGGATTGTACCCCGCGAACGCGGATTCATCGGCCGCGCCGCCGACAATCGCGCTGCCATCTGCGCATCTTCGCGCGCCCACGCCGAGGAACTCGCCGTCGGCGAAGCCCATACGCT